GTTGACTTTTGAGTCGACTCAAAAGTCAACATGGCAACACTGACCTCATACATCACGTATGCACGCACGTGCATCCACCCGGAACTGAGTTGACTTTTGAGTCGACTCAAAAGTCAACATGGCAACACTGACCTCATACATCACGTATGCACGCACGTGCATCCACCCGGAACTGAGTTGACTTTTGAGTCGACTCAAAAGTCAACATGGCAACAATGACCTCATACATCACGTATGCACGCACGTGCATCCACCCGGAACTGAGTTGACTTTTGAGTCGACTCAAAAGTCAACATGGCAACACTGACCTCATACATCACGTATGCACGCACGTGCATCCACCCGGAACTGAGTTGACTTTTGAGTCGACTCAAAAGTCAACATGGCAACACTGACCTCATACATCACGTATGCACGCACGTGCATCCACCCGGAACTGAGTTGACTTTTGAGTCGACTCAAAAGTCAACATGGCAACACTGACACCTTACATCACGTATGCACGCACGTGCATCCACCCGGAACTGAGTTGACTTTTGAGTCGACTCAAAAGTCAACATGGCAACAATGACCTCATACATCACGTATGCACGCACGTGCATCCACCCGGAACTGAGTTGACTTTTGAGTCGACTCAAAAGTCAACATGGCAACACTGACCTCATACATCACGTATGCACGCACGTGCATCCACCCGGAACTGAGTTGACTTTTGAGTCGACTCAAAAGTCAACATGGCAACACTGACCTCATACATCACGTATGCACGCACGTGCATCCACCCGGAACTGAGTTGACTTTTGAGTCGACTCAAAAGTCAACATGGCAACACTGACCTCATACATCACGTATGCACGCACGTGCATCCACCCGGAACTGAGTTGACTTTTGAGTCGACTCAAAAGTCAACATGGCAACACTGACCTCATACATCACGTATGCACGCACGTGCATCCACCCGGAACTGAGTTGACTTTTGAGTCGACTCAAAAGTCAACATGGCAACACTGACCTCATACATCACGTATGCACGCACGTGCATCCACCCGGAACTGAGTTGACTTTTGAGTCGACTCAAAAGTCAACATGGCAACAATGACCTCATACATCACGTATGCACGCACATGCATCCACCCGGAACTGAGTTGACTTTTGAGTCGACTCAAAAGTCAACATGGCAACACTGACCTCATACATCACGTATGCACGCACGTGCATCCACCCGGAACTGAGTTGACTTTTGAGTCGACTCAAAAGTCAACATGGCAACACTGACCTCATACATCACGTATGCACGCACGTGCATCCACCCGGAACTGAGTTGACTTTTGAGTCGACTCAAAAGTCAACATGGCAACAATGACCTCATACATCACGTATGCACGCACGTGCATCCACCCGGAACTGAGTTGACTTTTGAGTCGACTCAAAAGTCAACATGGCAACACTGACCTCATACATCACGTATGCACGCACGTGCATCCACCCGGAACTGAGTTGACTTTTGAGTCGACTCAAAAGTCAACATGGCAACACTGACCTCATACATCACGTATGCACGCACGTGCATCCACCCGGAACTGAGTTGACTTTTGAGTCGACTCAAAAGTCAACATGGCAACAATGACCTCATACATCACGTATGCACGCACGTGCATCCACCCGGAACTGAGTTGACTTTTGAGTCGACTCAAAAGTCAACATGGCAACACTGACCTCATACATCACGTATGCACGCACGTGCATCCACCCGGAACTGAGTTGACTTTTGAGTCGACTCAAAAGTCAACATGGCAACACTGACCTCATACATCACGTATGCACGCACGTGCATCCACCCGGAACTGAGTTGACTTTTGAGTCGACTCAAAAGTCAACATGGCAACAATGACCTCATACATCACGTATGCACGCACGTGCATCCACCCGGAACTGAGTTGACTTTTGAGTCGACTCAAAAGTCAACATGGCAACACTGACCTCATACATCACGTATGCACGCACGTGCATCCACCCGGAACTGAGTTGACTTTTGAGTCGACTCAAAAGTCAACATGGCAACACTGACCTCATACATCACGTATGCACGCACGTGCATCCACCCGGAACTGAGTTGACTTTTGAGTCGACTCAAAAGTCAACATGGCAACACTGACCTCATACATCACGTATGCACGCACGTGCATCCACCCGGAACTGAGTTGACTTTTGAGTCGACTCAAAAGTCAACATGGCAACACTGACACCTTACATCACGTATGCACGCACGTGCATCCACCCGGAACTGAGTTGACTTTTGAGTCGACTCAAAAGTCAACATGGCAACAATGACCTCATACATCACGTATGCACGCACGTGCATCCACCCGGAACTGAGTTGACTTTTGAGTCGACTCAAAAGTCAACATGGCAACACTGACCTCATACATCACGTATGCACGCACGTGCATCCACCCGGAACTGAGTTGACTTTTGAGTCGACTCAAAAGTCAACATGGCAACACTGACCTCATACATCACGTATGCACGCACGTGCATCCACCCGGAACTGAGTTGACTTTTGAGTCGACTCAAAAGTCAACATGGCAACACTGACCTCATACATCACGTATGCACGCATGTGCATCCACCCGGAACTGAGTTGACTTTTGAGTCGACTCAAAAGTCAACATGGCAACACTGACCTCATACATCACGTATGCACGCACGTGCATCCACCCGGAACTGAGTTGACTTTTGAGTCGACTCAAAAGTCAACATGGCAACACTGACCTCATACATCACGTATGCACGCACGTGCATCCACCCGGAACTGAGTTGACTTTTGAGTCGACTCAAAAGTCAACATGGCAACAATGACCTCATACATCACGTATGCACGCACGTGCATCCACCCGGAACTGAGTTGACTTTTGAGTCGACTCAAAAGTCAACATGGCAACACTGACCTCATACATCACGTATGCACGCACGTGCATCCACCCGGAACTGAGTTGACTTTTGAGTCGACTCAAAAGTCAACATGGCAACACTGACCTCATACATCACGTATGCACGCACGTGCATCCACCCGGAACTGAGTTGACTTTTGAGTCGACTCAAAAGTCAACATGGCAACAATGACCTCATACATCACGTATGCACGCACGTGCATCCACCCGGAACTGAGTTGACTTTTGAGTCGACTCAAAAGTCAACATGGCAACACTGACCTCATACATCACGTATGCACGCACGTGCATCCACCCGGAACTGAGTTGACTTTTGAGTCGACTCAAAAGTCAACATGGCAACACTGACCTCATACATCACGTATGCACGCACGTGCATCCACCCGGAACTGAGTTGACTTTTGAGTCGACTCAAAAGTCAACATGGCAACACTGACCTCATACATCACGTATGCACGCACGTGCATCCACCCGGAACTGAGTTGACTTTTGAGTCGACTCAAAAGTCAACATGGCAACACTGACCTCATACATCACGTATGCACGCACGTGCATCCACCCGGAACTGAGTTGACTTTTGAGTCGACTCAAAAGTCAACATGGCAACACTGACCTCATACATCACGTATGCACGCACGTGCATCCACCCGGAACTGAGTTGACTTTTGAGTCGACTCAAAAGTCAACATGGCAACACTGACCTCATACATCACGTATGCACGCACGTGCATCCACCCGGAACTGAGTTGACTTTTGAGTCGACTCAAAAGTCAACATGGCAACACTGACCTCATACATCACGTATGCACGCACGTGCATCCACCCGGAACTGAGTTGACTTTTGAGTCGACTCAAAAGTCAACATGGCAACACTGACCTCATACATCACGTATGCACGCACGTGCATCCACCCGGAACTGAGTTGACTTTTGAGTCGACTCAAAAGTCAACATGGCAACACTGACCTCATACATCACGTATGCACGCACGTGCATCCACCCGGAACTGAGTTGACTTTTGAGTCGACTCAAAAGTCAACATGGCAACACTGACCTCATACATCACGTATGCACGCACGTGCATCCACCCGGAACAGAGTTGACTTTTGAGTCGACTCAAAAGTCAACATGGCAACACTGACCTCATACATCACGTATGCACGCACGTGCATCCACCCGGAACTGAGTTGACTTTTGAGTCGACTCAAAAGTCAACATGGCAACACTGACCTCATACATCACGTATGCCCGCACGTGCATCCACCCGGAACTGAGTTGACTTTTGAGTCGACTCAAAAGTCAACGTGGCAACACTGACCTCATACATCACGTATGCATGCACGTGCATCCACCCGGAACTGAGTTGACTTTTGAGTCGACTCAAAAGTCAACATGGCAACACTGACCTCCTACATCACGTATGCACGCACGTGCATCCACCCGGAACTGAGTTGACTTTTGAGTCGACTCAAAAGTCAACATGGCAACACTGACCTCATACATCACGTATGCACGCACGTGCATCCACCCGGAACAGAGTTGACTTTTGAGTCGACTCAAAAGTCAACATGGCAACACTGACCTCATACATCACGTATGCACGCACGTGCATCCACCCGGAACTGAGTTGACTTTTGAGTCGACTCAAAAGTCAACATGGCAACACTGACCTCATACATCACGTATGCACGCACGTGCATCCACCCGGAACTGAGTTGACTTTTGAGTCGACTCAAAAGTCAACATGGCAACACTGACCTCATACATCACGTATGCATGCACGTGCATCCACCCGGAGTGGAGCAATGAGGCAGCAGAAGAGCTCGTGAACGCTGATCGATTCTTGTCCCCCCCCCTCTCCATATTCTCTCCCGTCCCTTTACCCCCAGGCAACTGCTGCAGCCACTATAGCTGTGGCCACACTGACTTCATACATCACGTATGCTCGCATGCGCATCCACCCAGAGCTGAGCGATGAGGCAGCAGATGAGCTGGTGAAGAGCGTTCATGCTTGTTACTCCTTGTTCCCTTTGGTCCACCTCCCCTCCAGATCGCTGCTGCCGCCACTGTCGATGTGACCACGCTGACCTCCTACATCACGTATGCCCGCACGCGCATCCACCCAGAGCTGAGCGACGAGGCAGCAGAGGAGCTGGTGAACGCTTATGTGGAGCTGCGGGGGCGGGGATCGGGGCGAAAGGTATGCCAGAGGAGAGGGGGGTTGGAGGGGGGTTGGAGGGGGAAGAAGGGGAAGAGCGGACGTTCTTAGAGAATCACTTCTGAGAATTCTCAAAAGGACGTTCTTAGAGAGGGTTGAGTGAGGAGGCAGCAGTGGAGGTGGTGAACGCGCATGTGGAGCTGCGGGGGCGGGGGTCAGGGAGATAGGTGAGAAAGGGAGGGATGGAAATGATGAAGGCTGTGGGGAGTGGTGCTGGCTGGAATAGAGTTGAGCAATGAGGCGGCAGTGGAGGTGGTGAACGCGCATGTGGAGCTGCGGGGCCAGGGATCGGGGAGGGAATTGAGTCGCAGGGGAGAGTGGAGAGGGGGACGGGGGGTTTGGTATGGAAGGGACAGTGGTGAACGCGTATGTGAAGCTGCGAGGTCGGGGGTCGGGGCGGAAGGTGAGTTGCGGGGGGAGGGGAGGGTGGGGAAAGGGGAAGGGGAGCTGTGAGGGAGTAAGAGATGATAAGCAGAGGAGCTGGTGAACGGACGCTTGGAGCTGCAGGGAAGAAGTTTGGGCTGGGATCTTGATCCGACGACCTCAATTCGACGACCTCGATCCGAACTTGTGATCAAGGTCGTCGGTCGGACGACTTGTTTTGAGGCACTGCAAAACAAGAACGCACACTTGGAGCTGCCTTTTTGAGTCGACTCAAAAGTCTGCAGGACAGAAGTGTGGGTTGGTTGGGATGAAGGTCGGTTGTCGGAAGAAAGAGGGACGGGTTCTTAGGCACCCCAAATATCGCCGTACTACAGGCATGCAGGAAAGAAGTCAGCTCCCTTTTGAGTCATTGGGATTAGGTTCACTGGAAGAAAGAGAGAGGGTTATGGAAGAAGCAGAAAAGGGGGTGTGTTTGTGGGTGTTGTGTTAATGATGCTTGGCGGATTGTGGCGGATTGTGGCGGATTGTGGGTGTGCAAGGCGGATTGTGGGTGTGCAAGGCGGATTGTGGGTGTGCAAGGCGGATTGTGGGTGTGCAAGGCGGATTGTGGGTGTGCAAGGCGGATTGTGAGTGTGCAAGGCGGATTGTGGGTGTTGTGTTGGTGATTCTTGTGCATCCTCACTGAAATGCACGCACTCAACCATAGCATGCATGCGCCCACAGATAAGCCACGTGTAAAAAGATGATTTTTGAGACGTCTCAAAACTCAACCATCGCATGCATGCGCCCACAGATAAGCCACGTGTAAAAAGATGATTTTCGAGACGTCTCAAAACTCAACCATAGCATGCATGCGCCCACAGATGCACCACACTCACACATCCACCTGACATGCCTCTCCGTGCCATACCCCCTCCCCTGCCACGTCACCCCATGCCATGCCAGGTCATCACTGCAACGCCACGTCAGCTGGAGAGTCTGATCCGCATCAGTGAAGCCCTTGCTCGCATGAAACTCGCTTCCACGGTGGGTTGAGGAGGAAGGGTGGGGAGGGGGGGGAAAGGAGGAAGGGTGGTGGGAGGGGAGGGGGGAAGAGGGGAGGGGTAGACTATGGACCTTGTAGGCACCATCAGTGTGAACCTCCCTCTCTCCCTCTCACTCACTTACCTCCCCCGTGTGACCCCGCCCAGGACCCCTTGTTGAAGTGTGAACCTCCCTCCCTCTCTCTCACTCACTTACCTCCCCCGTGTACTGGCAACACCACCAGGTGACCCACGAAGACGTTGTGGAGGCAAGGCGGCTGCTGGACGTGGCAATGCAGCAGTCAGCCACGGACCCCACCACAGGCATCATCGACATGGACCTCATCACCTTCGCCTCTCCGCACCCGCATGCTCTGACTCTCTCCCTCACCCACTTGCCCTCTTGTGCTGCTGGCAACACCATCAGGTGACCCATGAAGACGTTGTGGAGGCAAGGCGGCTGCTGGACGTGGCAATGCAGCAGTCAGCCACGGACCCCACCACAGGCACCATCGACATGGATCTCATCACCACGGGCGTGTCAGCCAGTGAGAGGGCCAAGCGCGTGCAGCTGCAGGAGGCGCTACTTTCCTTCCTGCAAGACAGAAGTTCTTCGTCCCGTTCCTCCTTCCGCGCACCTCAGGTACGGCTGAGAACACACGGGCACCACCGCAAGCATCACCACATGCAGGCACCACCACAGGCACCACCACAGGCACCACCACAGGCGCCATGGACATGAATCTCATCACCAGGGGGCTTGTCCGCTAGTACTCTACTTGCACGTGTTGTTGCGTGCCCCTCTGTGGAAGCATCTCCACCCCTTTGCACCCATGTATGTCCTCCTGTGTGCATGTTCTTCCCATTTCCACCGAAATCTACCCATTTGCACCGCATTCACAGGTGTGGGAGGACCTGAGGCAGCAATCATCCATACCTGTCACCCTCTTTGAGGTGAGTTCACCTTCTTAAAGCCCACAAGGGCATCTCGAAAAGCAATCAATACCTGTCACTTTAAGGCGAGTTTTACACCTTAAAGCCTCATAAGGGGCACCTCAGGAGAGCAATCCAAGATACCTGCCACACTTGGCCTGCTAATCACACTCGATCGTCAATCGAGTGAGGATATATGTCTGTTCTGCATGGTTTCTTTTGAGGCGCCTCAAAGGCTGCTAATCACACTAGATCATCCATCCCATGAGGATTTATGTCTGCTCTACGTTTTCACTCGATAGGTGTATATGCTATTAATCGTGGTTTCTGCCCTCTGCATTAGTTGTACCCTCCAGATGAGCTTTGGCCTGCACACACTTGTTTAGTGTGCCTCCCTTCCACCTGGTCACATCACCCCTGCACTGCACGCACTCCCTTCCACCTGGTCACATCACCCCTGCGCTGCATGCACTCCCTTCTACCCTACCATCCCATGACTGCAAGATTTTCTGCCAGCCAGTCCCACGCAATGCAATCTTCGTCTCATCATGATGCGTGGTGCACTCTTGTGGTGTGGCTCATGCGTGTTGTTGATTTTACGCACCTCCTTGTTTAAGTGTGCCTCCTTGTTTAAGTGTGCCTCCTTGTTTTAAGTGTGCGTCCTTGTTTTAAGTGTGCGTCCTTGTTTTAAGTGTGCCTCCTTGTGTTAAGTGTGCCTCCTTGTTTAAGTGTGCCTCCTTGTTTAAGTGTGCCTTCCTTGTTTTAAGTGTGCCTCCTTGTTTAAGTGTGCCTCCTTGTTTTAAATGTGCCTCCATGTTTAAGTGTGCCTCCTTGTTTTAAGTGTGCCTCCTTGTTTTAAGTGTGCCTCCTTGTTTTAAGTGTGCCTCCTTGTTTTAAGTGTGCCTCCTTGTTTAAAGTGTGCCTCCTTGTTTTAAGTGTGCCTCCTTGTTTTAAGTGTGCCTCCTTGTTTTGCCTGCCTTCTCCTGCCACACCAGGTTCGCGAGGCTCTAGGGCGGCTGCATGGGGAAGGCAAGGTGGTGTTCATTGATGACACTGTTCGAGTGGCATGAGTCATGGCTCAGTGGAAACACTCAACATGGGGGCTGCACGGGGAAGGCAAGGTGGTGTTCATTGATGACACTGTTCGGGTGGCATGAGTCATGGCTCAGTGGAAACGCTCAACATGGGGGCTGCACGGGGAAGGCAAGGTGGTGTTCATTGATGACACTGTTCGAGTGGCATGAGTCATGGCTCAGTGGAAACACTCAACATGGGGGCTGCACGGGGAAGGCAAGGTGGTGTTCATTGATGACACTGTTCGGGTGGCATGAGTCATGGCTCAGTGGAAACACTCAACATGGGGGCTGCACGGGGAAGGCAAGGTGGTGTTCATTGATGATACTGTTCGAGTGGCATGATGTGGTGGGTACCACACTCGCTATGACAACTGTTGAAGGCAACAATTTAGAAAAAGAGGTTGGGTAGAAACCCAGCCGAGCGTTGGAGGGTGTTCAGTGTAGAATGAAACTATAGGAAATCAATCTGTATTGAACCCTGATTTGCGACTTCCTCTGAAGATGGCTGAGCAATGATACCGTACACATTGTAGCATGGAGAGGAAACCCTAAACCCTTGGGGGCTCCTATTGTCCTGCTTTGTCCCTCCGGGCAGCGAACAGTGGAGAATCCACATACACTCTGTTTCCTGGTGGTGCAAACGTTCATTTTGCCTGAAAACCCTACCCAGCCTTTCTGATGTTTACACATTGTTCTGAAACATATCTCACTTCGTTGAAGGTGAGTTGTTGCGAACAGTGACTGTAACGGGAATGATAGCGAGCCCCTGGGCACGTCGAGTTTCTACAAACCGACTGGTAAGCATACTGGGATCCACAACGACGAGAAACTGGGTGTAGTAGAGGATAGGCGCAAGAGGCCCTAGGCATTTATGCTGGAAAGAGCTTATTAGCATGAAAGATTATGGTATTCAGCAGCGTTGTTCGTAATTTAGCACAATACACCCCGAGCCCTTAGGACGTGTATGATTTTTTAAATTGGCTAAAGTTTATGTTTTTTATTCGATTGTAGCAGTTGAACACAATGTAAACTTGACTCGATTTAGAGCATCTTGAAAGTTCGAACCGCGGAGGACAAAGATGCTCGCTGCACAAGCACACTTGCAAGTGCGAATTTGCAGGTTCGAGCTTACAGGGGGTGAACCGAGCCGCATATAGGCTGAGTAGGTTACCCGGTGCCGTCAAGTTCACAGCGCGACACGTCAACAAAGCGCGCAACCCAAAAAGTTCACCCTAGCCTTCCAACTCGACAGCGCGCCCTTGACATTTGACCCCCCTACAAATATCGGACTGACTTGGCTCCAGATCCAACTCAGCATCGCAAGATGACTCTCATACAGCTCAGCGTCTGCGCGCCTGCGCCTGAATATCTTGACACCAGCGAAACGTCATCGTGCCACGACGTATGCCACGTGGTGTTGTTTGCAGCGTGGTATTTGCTCCGAGCCCCATTCGTGCATCTATTGGTGCACGAAGTATTCACGAGCGTCGCTGACGTCTCGTACGTGCATGGAACCACCCACATTCACATCAAATTGTCGAGCCCAGCTTGTGTGTTTTTCTCGCATATGTTCACATTTGTAGGTTCGAACATGGTTGAATGTGGAACTTCAACACCATTCGCGAAAAATATAGGCGAATTTTGCGAAATTGGTTACCACCCAAAGGTCGCCCCAATTTACGAACTTACAAAAAAATCATACACGTCGTTATGCAGCACACCTTGTGCTGCATCCGAGTTTCTCCGCATGCTGTATGTGGTCCATCGCGTCGCTTCACTTGACCATTCGGTCAAGGCGGGTGTGTGCCTGCACTGGCGGCCGTCGATTTTTCCTGGTTACGGCGGGCAGGAGCCACGATTCTGAGTCAAAGTTTTTCCCCACAAGACGAAACAAGTTCACCCAAGCACGAGGTTTCAGTCCAGGTGCATCTTTACTCTCGGATTTTTGACTCGCTTCCCAAACAGTTTTGCGCAGTTACAGTACAGTCAAAGTTCAGCCTGTTGGAAGTCATGACAAATTTCAGAGATTCAGAGCAGCTTTCGGACAAGCTTCTCAATAATTGACTAGACTACACCTAGTTCTCGATAATTGCACAACCCTACCATTTTTTCGTAGATACCCTTTACGTGCTTTGTCTTGATGCGACAGACACCCAGAGATTGAGGGACTATAAAGATACAACGGGCAGGTAGCCTCTAGAAAGGACTCGCACTTAATGTTCGGGGTGAAGGGTTTAGTTAGGTTTGGGTTCTCCTTTATAATCCTGGTCCACTCCAACCAAACCCAAAAGTTCATGGTACCCTCCTCCGCGGTAACTACCCTACGATGACAATTGACCTAGGGTAAATACCCCAAGGTGTAATATTAAGGGGTGTGAAATAATCGAGAAGATAATGTATGCAGCAGAAGCAACGTTTCGGAACCATTGCGGTTCAATGTTCACATGTTCTGCGTTCTTATGACCTTACTGAATTGAACAACAAAGTTTTCGTTTTCCTGAAAGTGGTGAAGACGGAGGATCAAAACTTGGGGCCATTACTTTCACCACGAAATAACCTTTTTTTGGATGTAGATATATTAACAAAAACATAGATACATCCGTAGTCGCAACTATTACCACCAAATATCTGACCAGCATGGAGAGTTCTTATAGTACACCGCAGAAGGGGCACTTTGCACTTCTTCAAGAAAGTAAATGCATCGACGGTGAAGATTCGCTAAGAAAATCCTAATGGAAATTTTGCGATATATGTCTTGCCCGTGCGCAAGCCCTTTACTTCGACAACTGAAAAAAAAATAATTAAAAAAAGGCTCGGCGATTTCTCATACTTGGTTCGGTCAAGTACGAACAGCTATTTTTGGCCACTCTACAGAAAACGCCAAACATGCCGAAGAGTTACTAGATAGCAAAAAATGTACATCAACGTTATGCAGCTCGAGTCCGCTATAAGGACGCCGAAAAGGTTGAGTGGGTGTTCCTCAGCGCCTAAGCAGACCTGGGAAGGGTAATTACCTTGTCAAAGGCTTGACACGAGTGTGCATCCACATTCCACTCCAGGTGGTGTTTGGTTAAGGGTGAGCCCATAACCATTAGACAGCGAGTCGTATATGGGACATGACACTGTTCTAATCAAAGAACGGGTTTTTTTTCTCTCTCAAACCCTTTATGTCCACTGCCCATTTGTGAGAACAGTTGAAGTGCGAATGAAATCAAATTGTGAAAAACGTTGAACTTAACAATATGGTACATTTGATGCTGGTTTGAGTCCCTCATTGTTGCCTTGTGAAGTAAAGTGATTTTGAATTTCGCACAGGTTTTGTCAATTCACAGCTAATAAAATTAGGCTTATTAAAAAATAACTTGTCTGTTGACATTTTGACTTTTGTCTCTTTATTACTATTGGTTCATAACCACTGCAACTTGCTCGAGGGGGTTGTAATGTGGATGCAATTGGCTGGTCCAAAAAACAAAGATGCAGACTTTCGATCCGGTCAAGGATAAATTCGCGCACAGAGGTTGAGTATCGTGTGTAGGGTCATCGAAAACAAATCGATAGTGGTAGACAGGATATGGTCTGACACCTGGGAGCAATATCGGATCTATAGGATCAAAGTTTTGCTCGAGAACCAGCCTCGGAATGGGAACATTCTGAGGCAATATGGAGATGAGGGCTGATGGTTTGGGGCGGGGGGAAGATGCGGTGACTCGTGTACACATGATCCTCAACCCCTGCACCCGAATTTGCCGTGCACCGGATGGAAAGTCTACACTTAGTTGCACCCACATTACGAGCCTCCCGAGTACTACTTGCAGTGATGTGAACCAATACTTACCACAGAAACCATATTCAAACTGAAGAGACCGAAGTCAAAATGTCAACGGTGAGTTAAAATTTCTTTATAAGCCCTTTAGGTGCGAATTGCGAATTGGCGAAACGCAAGAATCACTTAAACGCCCAGAGAGTTTTGCAACAGTGGTCTTCTCAAACGAGAATCTTGTGTACTGCACAATTGTTTGCGAAGCAACAGCAATTGCACTGCAACCAGCTGCCCAAAACCTACCAACTCGGAGTCGGAAATCGGTAAGGGAAGGCAGCCCTTCATTCTGGCGTGACGTGACGACGATCCCTTGGCCCCACGCCACACTCCCCAACGACCACTGGTCAACTCTTATCTGTTTCCCTTCCCTCCAACCAGCGAGCTACAGTCAATCCCGCCTTTTTGCTGCTCCAGCCGCGGCTCTGACTCTCGACAAATTCTCGCGCCTCTGTTGAATCTCCGACCGGATTTCTGACTGAAGTTCCTGTCCTGATCGACAATGCAGCTACTGTATTGCCCCTAATCTCGTCGACAGTATCAGTTCGGCTGTGCCAGCTTGCTGTACAAACTATAAAATTCTCACTACGGTTGCAGCTTTCCATATCCAGCAAAATAACCCCCACTACTATAGTAGTACGCACTGTTTCTGAGAGGCACGCTCAGCTCGCAATGGCGTGTTCACCCGAACGTTCTCTCACGGCGCACCATCCCCCGTCGTTCGCCCATCGCCCACACCTTACGCCTCTACACCCAATCACGTCGTCGTCGCCTCTTCCGCAACAAGCGTGCTGGCCGAAAGCCACTCGAGGCGAATCTTGTTGCTGCTCCTTCCCCTGCTGCCCCAGTCCCGGAAACTGCTGTCGCACGCCCTCCCTAATTCATCACCCGGCGTCGCGTCCTACCACCGCCGTCACGAGTGCTTCTCCCCAGCCGGCGACGACGGCGGAAACTTCGGTGGACGTCGCGCCAAGCGGCGGTCCCGTGGATGGATTTTCCAGTCCTCAAGGGGTGATTTTATCAGCGGAAAAAATCGACAACTTTCCGTCAGCCCTATCCGTCAGTTCCTTTTCGTCAGTTTCTGCGGAGGTGGAGGAGGAGGATGAGATCTGGAGCAAGAGTCTCACCGGCGTCGTGGCGGCGCGGCTTTGCTCTGACAATTCCGCGAATGTCGCTGCTGCCGACTTTCCCAACCAAACGGTCACCGCGCCAGCCGACGCGGCTGCCGCCCAGCCGATGAGCGAATGGGAGGAGGAGTTTCTGCAGCAACTCGAACGTTCCATGGTGGATTCCCGCGGGAGGCTCGTCGAGTCGCTTATGGACACCACCGTAAAAACGCGGTCCGGCTCGTCCCGCTCCAACAAACACGGTCTTATTCGTGCGAGGAGCCATAGCCAAGAGAGAGCGTCTGAGCAAAGACGGTCGTTTACTCGGGTCCTTGAGGCCCCTAGGCGCGCTGAGAGCCATGGCGGTGGACTGACACGGTCCCGCAAGCTGTGGCAATGGCTGCTGAGCGGTCCATCATCTCCCAGCTATTAAGTTACTTGCTTTGTTTATGTTTTGTTGTATGTTTTGTTGTTTGTTGTCTTGTTGGTGTACCTTTCAACAACATTATCGCAAATTTCCTTGGACATGTAAAGCAGCCACATTCAATGGGCAATGATGATCCGCCCATTTTGCGAAATGTTACACTCCCAAATCGCACGTCGCCACTCGCTTCGATTGACATCGCTCGCTCTCATCTTCATTCTTTTCCAGTCACTCCCAAGTCATTTTCTAACAGAGCTTCCGAATTGACACGCCATGGCGGACAGTTCGATACCGTTTACTAATTTCGACATTCTCCCGGACGAGGTTCTTGCTGTTATTCTCCGCCACGTATCTTCGCGCAACCCGTGCCCTTTAAACCACGCGCTTACCTGCAAGCGATGGCTGCGCGTTTCACGCCTTGCGCAAGCCACCGTCCACGTCGCACAAGGCCGACAACTCTCCGCATCTCACCTCCTCCGCTCCCTCTCTCACTTCCCCAATCTAACAAGTCTCCATCTCGTGAAGCGCAGCATTGACGTCACGGATTGCATGTTTTTACGAGAGCTCAGTTGCTGCTGCTTCAGTAGAAACCTCACCTGTTTACAGGTCGACGTAATCAAACCCTCGATTTCATCTTTCCAATCCCAACACAGCTTATCGTCCAGCAGCAGATTACCTACTAACTGCGATATTGATTCCGGCCTTGAGTCTCTTTTCCAAGCTTGTACAAATCTGAATGACGTGTCGCTCTCCCTCCCACCATCCATCTCGTCACTTCCGCCTTCCCTCTTCCGTTTAAGGCAGCTCTCTCATTTACGGCTCTCTATCCACGGTTTCAGTTCCTTACCACGTGACTTCTTCCATCTCGCTCCCTCGCTCCGATCGTTGACGCTCATATCTTCTCAGCTAGAGATGCTACCTGAAACCCTAGGAGATTTCTCGTTGCTTCAAGAACTGACCCTGTCATGCATAAAAATGCATTCGTTTCCAGAGATTACCGCACACCAGCTGCCCAGCCTCCGTCTGGTTTCCCTTGACTGCCCAACTCTCGCCAGCCTGCCCGAGAATCTCTTCCACTTGCCATCTCTGACCTCCTTGAAAGTTTCCTCCTCCAGAATCGCTTTGCTGCCCGAGAATCTAGGGCACTCGCTAAGGCACTTAGAGCTATCTAGCCTCTACTGTCTTTCACATTTGCCGCTATCATTGGGGCACCTCGAGAACCTGGAAACTCTGAAGCTTGACCAATGCTTCTCTATGACTCACCTTCCACCTTCCCTCTCTTCCCTCCCCAGACTCCACACCCTCTCCCTGATCCGCTGTCCGTCGCTTGCCTTCTTGCCAGAGACTTTCGGTCAGCTGCCCGGCCTGAAAACATTGGAGCTGGTAGATTGTAGAAAATTTCAGCAGCTGCCCGAGTCCCTGACAGCTCTGCAGGCACTGACTCGTCTTGTGATTCAAGGATGTGAAAATTTGGAGTCTCTGCCCAGGAACATCGGGCACATGAAGGGGCTGAGGGAACTCGAAATCTTCGCAAGTGATTGCATCCGGGAGATTCCAGCAACACTGATTCTCCTGTCGCAAATCGAGCGCTTGTCAATTTCAGACTGCCCGAAGCTCCATTTCCTACCCGCCCTGAGCGGCGAACATTTCAAGAGCCTGACGCATCTGCAACTCTCGCATCTTCCGTGCTTACCTGCACTGCCAAAAAACCTAGGGAAGCTTCCAAGGATCCAGGAGGTTCGGCTGAATGGTTCAAACTTTGTCCGGCAGCCACAGCTTCGCGAGTCGTTCTACTCAAAGCCAGCCTTCTCCTGGATGACCGTTGGTCCTCTTGCCTGGATTTCACAGAGACCTGTTTCCGAAGCCTTGCCTCCGCGCCACTTTTCGATCATTCCCCCTGGCGGCGTGGGGCTAGGAGATTGGGTCATTCGGCCTTTCGATTGAGTGATCGGACAAGACAACGTTTTTTGGACCTGTCCTTTGCTTCTAGTTAAGAATTTGGTCGCTGGAACCACAGAGAGAATGTACATACGGTATGTTTGCAGGGGAAGGAAGTGGGGGGAGGAGGGGGGTTGTGCGCACGCGTGCGAGAGTGCGTGCGTGCGTGTGTGTGTGTGTGTGTGTGTGTTTGTGTGTGTGTGTGTGTGTGGGTGTGTGGGGGTGTGTGTGTGTGTGGGGGTGTGTGTGTGGGTGGGTGGGTGGGTGTGTGTGTGTGTGTGTGTGTGTGCGCACTTGTGTTTGCATTCTTTTGACCTGTCAATAAAAAAACCTCTTTCATTCACATGATACATATGCCCCGACTTTAAGCAAATAACGAATGCAGCTGAGACGAATCACTAGTGAGTCCTGCCCGAAACCCGAAACCCAAACCCATTCCGTTCAGCATTCAAACCCCCACCGATTTCATCTCCCCTCATTCATTCCAGCGCTACCATTCAAATCCGTCTGCCGTTTCGTCCCAATGGCGGCCTATCTGGTCTCTACGACGCCTCTAGGCATTTTTCCCGGCAGGAACCCCCGCAAGTCTATTTCGGATAGTAAAGTCTTGCGCAAGACTGACATATTCCCCTCAGTCCCTTCGATCGCCGCATTCCCCGCACATTCCGTACCCGCAACCACGCCAAATGCGAGCCGTCTTTTGCATAAGGTCGAATCGGTTGTCGATCAGAACGAAGGGCCAGGATTTTCCGACCAGTCGCGATTTAACAGTGGCGGTCGATTTGGCTCGCGCGGGGAACGAGACGGGCGCGATGGCCCCGGATACACCCCTCGAAGGTCTCCTCCCGAAAATGCTGGTCGGAGATGGGAAGGGGGGAGGTCGGGCGGTAGGGGAGGAGGCGGAGGGAGTAGGGGGGGAAGCAGGGGTGGCGGACGGGCGGGGGGAAGAGGGGGAGGCGTAAGGGGTTATGACGAGCGGACGGATTGGAAGCGGGAAGGGGACGCGGATCGAGGCAAGTATGCGGAGGGGGTAACACCGGGTAGAAACGGCGCTGATTATAGCGAAGATGATTATAATGGCGGGTCGTCAGATTGGGGTCGAGAAGAAGGTTCCTTCAATCCCAGAACGCGTTGGTCTGGTGATAGTAGCGAGCGCGCATATAACGGAAGATGGCGATTGGATGACGACAAGCCGCCGCGGACGCTTTTGGACGTGCCGGATCGCGTTCGGAGGGGTTTAGGGAGGTCTTCAGCGACGTTTCAATCGTCGGCGTACGATCGACGGGAACGAGGCGGTTTCGGTCAGCGTGGCGACGCCGCGACGTACGGCAGCAAGCCGTACGGATCGAAGGATTCGTACGAAGGGCGATCGTACGGCGGAGGGCGATCCAAGGAGGCGTACGACGGGCGATCGTACGGTCGAGAGCGGTACGATTCCGGCGGGAGTGACGGGGAGCGGAGACCTGCGGGGAGGGCGCCTGGGCGCGGCCGTGGGCGGGGGGGGGCAGGGCAGGGGGAAGAGGCGAGCGGGGAGAAGCACGGGGCGGGGAACGGCGCGCGGAGACTAAGGAAGTGAGGCCTGCGGGGAGGAATTCCCCGGGAGAGCGAGGGCAGGGGGAAGCATGGGGCGGAGAACGGGGTGGGCGCGGGGAAGGCTGGAGTGAGGCTCGAGATGGTCGGGGGGGGATACGGGGGGAAGTAAGGGGGAGGGGAGAGAGGGGAGGATCGAGGGAGGCGTGGAGGGGATACTACCAGCCGGAGCAACCGGCTGCTGACGAGTGGGGTTTGTGGGGGGCAGATGGGGGAGAAGGGGAAGGAGCGGAAGAAGGGGAAGAAGGAGAAGTAGGGGTAGGAGGAGTCGAAGGGGATGAGGGGTTTTGGGGAGGGGAGGATTCGGAGGAGGAGGAGGATGAGGAGCAGGAGAAAGATCTTTTGCCACGGGCAGCTGCTGTCAAGAGATTTGAAGCCAAAGGTTTTGAAAACAAGGGTTTTGCAGCCGAGGGTTTTGCTGCTGTTGATAGCACAACCTTGGAAACGGGCGCGAGGGGTTTACGCGGGGAGCTCCGGCGGGGTTTAAAGGAGGGTGTGGGGGGGATTGAGGTGGAGGCGAGCGGGGAGGAGTGGCGGAGGCGGAAGGTGGGGTGGCTTGCGCGGGAGGTGGCAGCGGTGGTGCCGAGTGGGATGGTGCGGCTGCTGAACGCACAGAAGCAGTGGATGCGCATGGGCGACCTGGTCGCTGTAGTGGAGAGCCTTATAGCGAGGAAGGAGGTGGTGCGCGGGATACGGGTGAGTGGCGATGCTTTTGGGCTCGGAATAGCTACTAACACGAACCAGAAACCTCAAAGAAAGAAACAGAAACCAGATACTTTAACCGGACTTAAACCAAAACCGCAAACCCCAAAACCCAAAGCTGGGATTTTCCCACTTGAGGTGGCAGCGGTGGTGCCGAGTGGGATGGTGCGGCTGCTGAACGCACAGAGACAGTGGATGCGCATTGGCGACCTGATCGCTGTAGTGGAGAGGAGAGCCGTATAGCGAGGAAGGAGATGTTGCGTGGTATAAGGGTGAGTGGTACTGTGCAGTTGTTTTGTGTGAGGGCGTGTGATGTGAGGGAGGGGGGGGCAGGGTGTGTGGGGAGGAGGGGTGATTATAGAGGGCCAGGGAAACCTGTGGGGGAGGGGGATGGGTATAGAACGATGTGGGTTGCATTTCCTCATCTGTCTCCCATTTGTCCATCCCCCTTCCTTCCTCTCTTCCCCCACGCCTCCCCTTGTCCCGACTCCCCTTTCCCCCCTCACAGCCCTTCTCCCGTTTGCCCTCCTTGCCCTCCTTTGCTCCCCTTAACCCCATTGTCCCCCTTCCCCCTCTTTGTCCATTTTACCTCTCTTTGCCCCCCCACAGGTCTTCCAGTGGGCGCTGCATGCGCCCTTCTTCTCCCCCTCGGCCTCCCCCCCCATCCTCTCCGCCCTCCTCCTCTCCGCGGCCGCCCAGGGGAAGATCCGCCACATGCTCCCCCTCCTCTCCTCCGCGCTCCCTCAGGGCGTTTCCCCATCTCGCCCCGCTTTTGAGGGGGTAATCCGGTCGTTGCTCCTTGCCGCGAAACGAGCCGAGGAGTGGAAATGGGAAGGGGGAAAGGGAGGGGCGGGGGGCAGAGGGGGGCGTGGGGGGAAGGGCCGGGGGGAACGGGGAGGGGAAAGGGCAGGAGGACGGGAAAGGGGAGGGGAAAGTAGAGTGGGGGAGGAGGGGGAGGGGGTGGGGAAGAGAGGCATGGGAAAGAGGATGAGGGAAGAAATGGTGAGGCTGGAAGAGAGTGCATGGGAGGTGTATGGTATGATGCAAGGCCTTGGGGGGAGCATAGAGCGCAGCCCCACAGGGGAAAGCACACAAACAGCACTATCACCACCACCACCACCACCACCACCACCACCACCACCACCACCACCACCACCACCACCACCACCACCACCACCACCACCACCACCACCACCACCACCACCACCACCACCACCACCACCACCACCACCACCACCACCACCACCACCACCACCACCACCACCACCACCACCACCACCACCACCACCACCACCACCACCACCACCACCACCACCACCACCACCACCACCACCACCACCACCACCACCACCACCACCACCACCACCACCACCACCACCACCACCACCACCACCACCACCACCACCACCACCACCACCACCACCACCACCACCACCACCACCACCACCACCACCACCACCACCACCACCACCACCACCACCACCACCACCACCACCACCACCACCACCACCACCACCACCACCACCACCACCACCACCACCAGCAGGGGGACAGATCCCCCAAGCAACATTCAAGGCCCTTGCAGGCTCCCCCCCACCCTCCTCTCCCCCTTCCACCTCATCTCCCTCTTCTTCCCCCTCCTCGAAGCTTCTCTACGAGCTGTATGACGCGTTCAGCCGCCCATCGGCCCGCGGCCGCCACGTCAGCAAGCTGGAGCAGCTACTTAAAGACCTCTCCTCCCTAGGGGCCCCAATCACCCCCCTCATGCACTCGCGCTTAGCACAACAACTGGCCTGCCTGGGAGATATCGACAAAGTCGACGCGCTTTTAGCTAATATGCGCTTAGCTAAGCTCCCGATCCCGGCTCCTGCTTTAGAAGCTGCGGTGATTGCTTGCGCTCGGGCGTACCACTCGCAGGGTCCTCTCGGGCAGCAGGGAAATTTCGGCTCGGGCGGCGGGGAGGTTTTTGGCGTGCTGACTGGGCTGCCCGAGCGGGCAGCGAGGGGGGTGAGGGAGGTGGAAGAGGCCGGGTTTCGGCCGAGTCAGGAAGTTTTAGTGGCTTTAATGGAAGTGCTTAGTAAAGCGCAGAAATACCAAGAAGCAGTGAGTGTATGGCCAAAGGTGCTTGAAGCAGCCGAAGCTGCTGCCGCTGCAGCTGTTGCTGCTGGTCGCGCAGCTGGAGGTGCTGAAGCTGCTGGTTTGGTAGACAGGTCCGGCGCCAGACCGGTGTGGCAGGCTCGGCCGAGCCTGCGGGCGTATAATGTGTATGTGGAGGCGTTGAGTGGGGTCGGAGAGGTGGGGGCAGCAGAGAGGATGGTGAGGGAGATGGGTGAAAGGGGCATGAGGCCGCTCACTAAGGGGTTCAATGCGGTGCTGAGGATGCATGTGAGGCTGGGCATGGGTGCCAATGCTGGTGCACTGAATATGCCGGCAGCAGCAGCACCACCATCAGCGGTATCAGCACCATCAGTAGCACCACCATCAGCAGCACCACCAGCACCAGCACCAGCACCAGCATCACCATCAGCACCATCACCAGCACCAGCATCACCTTCACCACCAACACTACCATCAGCAGCAGCAGCAGCAGCAGCGTCAGCAGCGGCAGCAGCGAGGGATGCAGCAGTGCGTGTATTCACCGAAATGGCCGCCTTTGGATGCCCCGCCAGCAGCGAGGCGTGCAACCTTCGCCTGCAGACGCACCTGCTGGCTCGTGACTGGGATGGTGCGTGGGAGCTGTATGGCATGATGAGAAGAGCGGCAGAGGGAGGGGTGAGAGGAGTGGGAGAGGGAGGTGTGGGAAGGGCAGGAGGGGGTGGGGTGAGGAGAGAGAGGGGGACGAGAGGAGGGGGGAAGGGAGGGAGGGAGGGGAGAGAGACGACGAGGGGGGTGAGGGCAGGGGGGAGAGGCGAGTGGGAGGGGAGTGAGGAGGAGAGTGAGGAGGAGTGGGAGAGGCATGGTTGGATGAGGAGGGAGGGTGGGGGGGCATTTCAGGACTGGAGAGCAAAGGAGGAAGAGGAAGAGGAAGAGGAAGAGGAAGAGGAGGAGGAGGAAGAGGAGGGTAGTGAAGAGGAGGACGAGGATGATTACGACGACGAGGAGGAGACGGAGGAGGAGACGGAGAGAAGGGAGGAGGAAGCGGCAGACTCACAGGTGAACTCGAGAGCAGCACTGCTGCCTGTGTTGAGTCCCCCCAACCAGCGCACATACGACCTGCTGCTGCTGGCTCTGGCAGAGGGTGGAGATGTGGGGGGCGTGGAGAGAGTGTATTCGGACATGCTGCGAGAGCGGGTGCGCGGTGGGGCGAGGAGGGGAGGGATGGAGGGAGAGGAGGGCGAGGAGGGAGAGGAGGTCGAGGAGGGAGAGGAGGTCGAGGAGGGAGAGGAGGTCGAGGAGGGAGAGGAGGTCGAGGAGGGAGAGGAGGTCGAGGAGGGAGAGGAGGTCGAGGAGGGGGAGGAGGGAGAGGAGGGAGAGGAGAGGGAGGAGAGCGAGTGGGCGGAAAGCAAGACTGGTGGTGGGGTGTTAGGGGTTGTGAGTGGAAGGGAGAGAGTGAGAGGGGCGGAGGGGAGTGAGGAAGAGAGGGGAGGGGGAGGGTGGTGAGGGTGAGGAGGTTCAGCCTGCAGGGGCGAGTGAGGGAGGTAGTGGAGCACCTGTTAGGGGTGGATAGAGTGAGAAGGAATGAGGCGTGGGCTGCTGCTGTGGCAGCCCGAGGGGGAGAAGCACCAGCCATTTTTGGAGGAGCAGCAGCAGGAGCAGGAGTAGGGGGAGAAGGAGGTGCAGGAGGAAGAGGTATGGGTGGGACTGGGAGAGGCTGGGGGGCGGGTTTCTTTGGGGAGGGGGATGTGGCGATGGGCTTAAGGCTTACAAGGGAGCAGCGGCAGGTGCTGGTGGGGGCGTTGCTAGCAGGGGCTGAGGTGGAGAGTGCAGACGGCGGGGTGACTTACTCTGTGCGGTTCTCCCAGCCTATTGCAGCAGGCGGCGAGGATTGGCGTATGCGAGTGCTGGACTGGCTGTATGAGGTGTTCCTTCCCTGGGTGGCTGCGCCGCCCGTGGATGTGACTGTAAAGGGGGGAGAAGTAGGGGAAGGTGAAGGGGGGGATGTGGGGAAGGAAGGGGGGAATGGGGGGAAGGAGGTGGAGGATGGACGCGATATCATTCGGGTGCGCACATTCGCTACCGTTGCACACCCCTCTCTGCAGTTCTATGCTCGGCACTTTCGTCCTGTAGTGAGGGATGCGGCCGGCAAACGGGGCAGCGGGGAGGCGGCAGTTCCTCGTCTTATTCATCGATGGCTTTCACCCCGAGGCATGGCGACGTGGCTCATGTATAATGGTTGGGCTATTAAAGGGGATGGAGGCAAGGGAGGGAGAGAGGTGAGGAGGGAGGAAATTGGAGTGGGAGAGGGGGAGGGGAAGGGAGAGAAGGTTGAAGCGATGAAAAAATCTGGTGATAACACGGGTGGTAGTGGTTATAGCCTGGTATTTGGAGCGGAGGGGTATTCTGCCAAGGAGGTGGCACTGGTTGTTGCAGCGGTGGGCGCGAGAGTGGAAGATTGCGCTTGGAAAAAGGGATCTAAAGGGAAGAAGAATGCTATGAGGTTCAGTGGGCTGTCTGCACGAGGCACTTGGCGAGCCATGGAGCCTTATATGGTGGAGGAGGCGAGGGATGCTCTTGGCCCTTGATGAACATTACTAGCGAGATGTTTTCATGGTTTAGTTAACTCAATATCATCCATTGGTTTAATCTTCAGTTTTTTTTTTTGTGTTTTTTTTTATTTTTTTTTATGTTTTGCAATTGTACTGCCCTAGCGTTGTTCTGTTGCGAAATCTGCTAATTCGCGAAGTAGCCTCAACTCGCGGAGCTCCGAAGGCCACAAACAATCAGATCGAGGAGATTCGCTCGTCCAATCAGGACTCACGACGACCCTCCATCCACCGACACTTACTGCCGCGTCTCGCTCGGAAATCACTCGATTTGCACACGGGTCTTCGCGCACACGCATTCTCCCACCCCTCCCAAAATTGATTGCGTTTCAGTGAGGCAATTCTTGATAAAGAGCGGTCAAATCAGGTTTAAGAACGGTTAAGACTGAGCCGAAGGCGCCTGCCAACTCTATCGTCTCGTCATCATCATGTCAACTGACAGCTACAATTGCTCTGCTCTGTCAATTGCTTTATCTGCCAGCCTTATTCGTGTGTCGGAACTGACGTCATAAATTCCTTCGCCGCGCGTTGCGTTCCGTAGCCGCTGCGCGCGATTGTTCCTTCCCAACGCGGCTGACGTGAGCCACGCGTACGCGCCGAAGGAATGGCTGGTGGAGGTGACGTCAGCAATGGCAGCAGTCCGATCAATCCCAGCCGTCCGAAGGACGGTTACGCTGCTGGCCCGCCGTGGATTTTCAAGGGCAGGTTAGTTAATGACGTCATTAATTGGTCGCCTCCTCAGTGTAGCCAAGTTGGAAATGGTCGCGAGGGAAAACTTAAATTTTAGCAACCCGTAGTTGACTTTCTGATCGCCGCTAAAGGAGCACAACCTTACTTGGATTTCGTGGTTCGTCAGCGTCGGTCTGCTCGTTCGTTCGTAGCTTCACACGAGGAAGAATCGAGAAGTTTATTGCACGAAGCTTGTCTTTCGTTCTTTGCGAGCTTTCTCCAAGTGGCCTCCCGCTATGGTCACTCTCAAGTCGCAATATCCTTCGTCCATCGCCCCCGCTATTGTCACTTCCAGGGCGTTGTACCAGCTGAACCTGGTCAAAGCTGACGTGGCACGCCAAGTCGTTCCGCCGGAGCTCAAGCTCGTCGAAGCCTTTGGGTAGGTGCTGTAGGTTTCAGAGTGGTGACTTGGGTCTCAGAGTTGGTGCTCTGGGACTTAGCGTGGTCCTCTGGGTCGTAGCGTGGTCCTCTGGGTCGCGTGACGGTGCTTCAGGTTGTAGAACGGTGCTCATGGGTGGTCTCAAATATTTTTACTGAGATCTTGCTACTCATAAGCGTCAGTATCCATCACATCACAGACCGGCAGGGGTGCTCCAGGGTTTGAAGGAAAAGGAGGTTTTCACCCGCTCACCCTCCTCTCACCCTCCTCTCACCCTCCTCTCACCCTCCTCTCACTCACACCCCTTCCTCTCCCCAGATACACCCTGGACGGAGTGTGCTATGCGTAGTGCAGTAACACTCGAACCCCGCTGGACCTAACAGCACCCATTCGAACCCCACTTACACCCCCATCACCCCCCAGGTACAACCTAGGCGGGGTTTATTATGCGCAGTATGACCTTTTCCTCTGTACCTAACAGCACAGCACCCACTCACACCCCTCTCACAACCCCATCAACCCACAGGTACACCCTGGGTGGGGTCGACTATACGCAATACGTCTCTTTCCTCTGTATCTAACATCACCTACTCACACCCCTCTTACCCCCCCATCACTCCCCAGGTACACCCTAGGCGGGGTATACTATGCGCAGTACGACTCGAGTCCTGCAGGGAAGTTTGACGAGGTACGACCGGGGAAGGCTGTATTCAGTTGTCAAAAACAGGAAGGTTGCCTTTGTGGAAGGGAGGGACTGATTCGGCAAGGGATGGGACTGACTCGGGAAGGGATGGGACTGACTCGGGAAGGGATGGGACTGATTCGGGAAGGGATGGGACTGACTCGGGAAGGCATGCGACTGACTGGGAAAACATTTGCAAGTGGATGTCATCAAACTGGTTGTATTGGTAGCTTTTTTTGCTGCACAAACCTAGCCAATCTCGTAAGTCTTTTACGTCAATCCTCCCTTAACTCCAAGTCAACCCAACCTTGCCTCCCAATCAACCCTGTTGCCCCACTCGCCCCGTCTCACCACCTTTCCATATGTGTGCTCCAAGTCTCTGGAACCCTCTTTCCTCTACATTCCCTTTTTCCGTTTTTCATTCCCCTTCCGCCGCCCAACCCACTATTTTTCTTCTCCTCTCTAATCGCCTCACCTATACCCTGCTCGCCCTTCCTTCTCGCCTGCCCTTCTTTTCCTTTCCTCACCCCGCCCATACATCTCCCCCCGCCGCCCGTCCTTCTCCCCCCTCCGCCCGTCCTTCTCCCCCTCCGCCCGTCCTTCTCCCCCCTCCTTCCCTCTCCCCCCTCCTTCCCTCTCCCCCCTCCGCCCATCCCGTCCCATGGGCTCTCAGCTGGCCATCATACCCGGCATCGTGTGGGACCCACCTGACTCGTGCCACTCCCTCCCCTCGCCCCTCTCCCCTCCGTTTGTCCCTCCCCCTCTCCGCCCATCCCCATGCCCCCTCTCTCAGCTCGTCATCATTCCTGGCATCGTGTGGGACCCACCTGCCTCGTGCGCGTGAGTTTGCTGTGCTGTAACCTCGTAACCCTGATTCGCTGCAACCCTGTGCCTTCGTTACCCTTTTGCACCTTTCGTTAACCTTGCGTTTTTTTTTCCTCCTTTGTCGTGCTACACACACGCGCGCATGCGCATGTGTGCACACACAGGCTTGTGCGCATGTGTGCTCAGGCATGGCCCCCCCCCCCCCCCTCCTTCCCCACACACACCCACCCCCCCACACACACACCCACACACACACACACTCCCCCCCCCCCCCCCCACACACACCCCACACACCACACACACCCCCCCCACACGCACACACACCCACACACACACACACCCCCACACACACACACCCCCCCCCCACACACACACACACCCCCACACACACGCACACCCCCACGCACACCCCCACGCACACACACACGCACACCCCCCTACACACACGCACCCCCTCACACACACACACGCCCCCCTCACCCCCCCCCCCCCCCCACACACACCCCCACACACACGCACACCCCCCCCCCCCACACACACACCTACACACAAACACACGCACGCGTGCGCGCGCGCACACACACAGACACACACACACACACTCACTCATCCCCTCTTCAGTATCCCTCCCCCTCCCACACCCTCCACCCATTCTCCTATCCTTGAGCCACCTCCCACCATCCTTCCTTGTCCGTTTCTGCGAGTTGATTCCAACAGGTGGGCGGCAGCGGTGATGGTGGATAGTGCGTCAGCCAGAGACCATGGTATCAAGGTGTGTGGCTGGGCTGATATTGAGGCGCCTCAGAGGTGAGGTGAGACGATTTTTTAGGCGCCCCAAAAAGGGCGGCAGCAGTGATGGTGGACAGTGGCTCAGCCAGAGTCCAGAGGAGTGGCTGGGTTCATACAGTGTCGTTGTGCGATGAAGCTTGTGGGTTCTGATGAGAGTGATTGTGATACTGATTATTCTGTTTGTTATTATGTACTGATTGTGGCCTCTCTCTCTCCACTCAATTCTCCGCCCACTCCTTTCTCCCTCTCCTCCGTCGGCAGGAGGTTGGGCTGCCAAGCCGATTCGTCTCATTCAACAAGGTACTGCCATGCCAGGGAGTTCTGGAGGCATTTTAACGCATCCACACACACTACACATGTGGAGGCTCATACACACGCACCCTCACTCACTCACACGCACCCTCACTCGCTCACACGCACCCTCACTCTCTCACACGCACCCTCACTCACTCACACGCACCCTCACTCACTCACACGCACCCTCACTCACTCACACGCACCCTCACTCACTCACACGCACCCTCACTCACTCACACGCACCCTCACTCACTCACACGCACCCTCACTCACTCGCACGCACCCTCACTCACTCACACGCACCCTCACTCACTCGCACGCACCCTCACTCACTCGCACGCACCCTCACTCCCTCGCACGCACCCTCACTCACTCACTCGCACGCACCCTCACTCACTCACTCGCACGCACCCTCACTCACTCACACGCACCCTCACTCACTCACACGCACCCTCACTCACTCACACGCACCCTCACTCACTCACACGCACCCTCACTCACTCGCACGCACCCTCACTCACTCGCACGCACCCTCACTCACTCGCATGCACCCTCACTCACTCGCACGCACCCTCACTCACTCGCACGCATGCTCGCACGCATGCGGGCGCTCGCCCATGTTCACATGCAAAGATTTGCTGTTATTTGCGATGCCTTCACTCCATAAGACTATATTCTGTAATGATTCCATGCCTCATACCTGCCCATGCCCTGCTGCTCCCATGCCCCACCGTTTGCCTGCCCATGTGTCGGATTATGGCGTGCAGAAGCTGCTGCCAGCACCTCAGTCCGTCGCACATACCGCTCCTCTCAACTCCATTTCCTCCCCTCCCTCCACCTCTCCATTGAACGATCCAAGCGCCTCAGCCTCCCCCTCCCCCTCCTCCCCCTCTTCTCATGCACCTGACAAGGCTCCTCTGCAACTGCTTTCCAGATTCATTAACCCCTGGAGAAAGGGACGGACACAGGGGCTGGGAGGAAGCAGAGAGGGGGGGTTCCTGCAGGTGACTGTGTGTGATGGGGGAAAGGAAGGAAGGGGAGGAGGGAGAGGAGGGAGGGAGAAGGAGGGTAAGGGGTTGGAGGAAGGGAGTGTTAGACTCGGAGAACCCATGTTTGAACTTCACATGAAGGTGCCATCGCTCAAAGGTGAGAATTAATCTCTTTTGTGGAACCATCACGCAGAACTGGGAACTAAAAAGTGGGACATAGAGTCCCCATGTTTGAACTTCACATGAAGGTGCCATCGCTCAAAGGCGAGAAAGTATGACTTTCTTTTTTTGGAAGAATAATCACGCAAAATTGGAAACTGAAATGTGAGGGACGGAGCACCCATGTTTGAACTTCAAATGAAGCTCTCATCTTCTAAAGGTAAGAGGGAGGGACGTTCCCTTCTGTGCAAGAAAGGCCTTCACAGCGTGCATACTGGCTTCACTTGTTCTGGCTGTTTCCGAGTGTCACTTTTGAGAATTCTTAAAAGTGACTCCCAACTAAGATGGATGTTCTCTCTTTGGAAATTGGATGAAAGGCCTTTACAGCTTGCATACTGGCTTCACTTGTTCTGGGTGCTTTTAAGACTAGTTGGATTCTGAAAACATTCAGAAGCACCTGCAACTCTCAGATTCACCCTGGATTCTGGAAGGCTTGTGCAGCTTTCCTTCTGGCGTAACACCACATGGGCGATTTCCATCTCCTGTGTTTGTGTCTCTGTATTCCTTTTGACCTGTTATTGTCTCTTATGTGTTCTCTTATGTTTCATTTTCTGCTTTCAGTCAATTCCTGGCCTCATTCAACAAATCGCAACCTCACCCCCTTTTTCCCCCCTTCTGTTCCCCCCCGTTTTCAACCTGTGTGTTGTGTGTGTGTTTTGTATGTGTGCATGCGTGCGTGCGTGTGTGGGCACGACTCCCTGTGACAACATCAGAGCTCGCAGCTGTCTCACACCTGCCATCCATCAAAATGTCGCTGCCTAGCTTCAGGTGAGTGTGCGTGTGCTGTGGTAACCAGCCATGTGGTAACCTGCTCCGGTGAGCTTGCTCTGTGTAACTAGCATCATGGTGACCATGTTATGGTAACCAGCTCTTTGCAGAAAACTTATGGCAATGAGCAATGTGGTAACCAGTCCTGAAAGAGCATGTGCTGATGACCAGCAGGATTGTGGTGACCAGCAGCAAATTCTCTTTGAATCGCTATTTGAGTCGACTCAACAAGCGACTCAAAAATGCTGACAGCTAGCAGGAGTGTGGTGACCAGCAGCGTATTCTTTCACTCAACCCTCTTCCACCCTTTCTTCCTTGCAACAGCCTGTTCATTCCGCCCTGCCCATTCCGCCCTGCCCATCCCATCCCGCATGCCACTCCTGTTCCGCCCTTTCCTGTCCTCCACACAACCCCTGTATCCAGTGGCCGCACAGAGGCTCAGCCTGCTCTGCTCAAATACTCGTGCGACCTCTCCTGCCGGTTAGTCTTCCCCGTTTCACCTCATTAACCAACCAGGTTGTTTCAGGGCCAGTTGCCATGTGCTGTTTTGTTCGGCCTTGCTTCTTGTTTCCGTTGTAAGCTACAGCTTATTTGGTTGTGAGATTGATTCGGTCACCCATACAAGATCTTGCACTGCGTGCCTGCACAGACACACAAATCACCCCACATTTTCCCCTCTCCCCCATCTCTCTTCTGTTTCGCTCTTTCACTCCCGTCCACCTACCTGTGCCACTGCAGTGTGAGCCTCATGCCGCCTGCCACCACCCGCATCAGCCCAGCCTACCGACAGAGACAGACCTCTCCCAACAGCTCTGCTGATGCGTTACGTGACTCTGTGACTTCATCCAAGGACCAGACTGCTGGCAGGAAGAGCCAGGATGTGGTGGTTGAGGTGCTCTCTGGTCGGCCGCTGATTGCGATGTGTTTTGAAGGGATGGAGATGAGAGTGGAGGCGCCGACTCGGGTGTTGTTGCCTGCGACGACTGTTATGAGGGAACTCAAGGCTCGTGATATCGTTGTCGCCACGAGCAGCTTGCAGTTCGAGGTCAAGGATAGTGTTGAATCGCCTGCCGAGGCTGAGTACAAGACTGCTTAAATCAAACCAATAACTTAATAATTTGTTTCATTGTATTTATTATCACTATCTAATGTAGGGAACCTCGTCTCATTGAGTGTACTGAGGCTCGTTTTCTGCAGAAACGGGTCAACCATCTTCTGATCATGAACCTCGTGGTCAGGATCTCTTCACGTATCCACGTCAGCACGTGAGCGACGTGGCCTGTGGAGACACCTCGAGTTCTGCCATTGGGCCCCTTCACCCATACTCTTGGTCAGGGGCGAAAAGATGTTTGGAATTGGCCGACAGATCAGCAATCTGTACAGACCTCTAATCTGTACGGTTGCGAGTTTCAAAACACACATTCTTGATTGGTCCTCACTTTCCACGTAAACTGTATTTCAGAGATGCACCAACGTCACGAAACTTCGCAACACACACGACGAACCGAAAGTCCGTGCGAACTCGAAGGGCGAAACGAGATTCACTCACCAACCACCTGTCGTTTGCCACCTGGCGCTAGGAGCTCGTTGCATCACTCGTTTTGAACCTTCTGCGACCGTCAAAGAGGTCTTTTGCCCCAATCCAACCGCAGAGCGCCTGTGTCCACTCGTCGCCACACTCAACCGAATGTTTATTTGAACAAATCCTCTAAACCGAGCCATCCTTTCCCTGGGAATTTCTGAAAATCCCAGCCCTGGGAACTCCATTTTATGCCCTGATGGTTCCATCACCCACAGAACCTGCTTTTGCTGACATTCAGGCGTTCATCTGGCCGTTCGGCTCATTGTTTTGCTGTGCGTGTCTGTAATTCTGGAAGAGAAGTGCTTCTGATTTCTTAGATTCCTCGCTTAGGGTCTCCATTTGTCACGCAAAGACTCCGTATTTTGAGCTCTTTAGCGTACGAGGAGTTTGCTGCCGAACGGGAAGCGTACCTTGTAATTGCAGACCAACGCGGTAGCCATGGCGGCTTGTGCTTCTACGCTACACACCTCTGCAGCTCTAGTTGCAGTGCAATCTGTTTCAATCTCTTCCAGCCAAAGACTAGCCAGCACCAGCAGCCTATCGGCGACGTGGCGAAACGTTCGCCAGGCGTCGTCGCCGTCACATGGCCGCCAACAACGCTTCGTCGTGAGAGCAGCTGCAGCTGAAGAGGCTTCGAAAAAAAGTCCGTTTCACTTTTTCTCTTTCCATCTCTCTCCATAAAAAAACGTTCTTTTTACCCACATGTGCATACCTGCAAACAACCACTATCCAAGCTCACACCATTATAATCAATATATCTTCTTTTGTTCGTTTCATGCGTTAGTTCGTTGGTGACTACTTCAATCCATTTCGGAGTACGCTCAAGTGTTCGTTTCATGCGTTTAGGAAATGCACTTTTGAAGCCTGCTCCTGGTCCCCTTTTTTATTACTAAATATCTGTATATACATCTATTTTAATAACTGAATTTTCCACCTGCAGCTTCCGGCAACGATTCCGGGAGCGGCAGCGACAGCGAAGTGGACGAGCACATCCTGCCGTACTGCGACATCGCGAAGAAGAAGCAGCGCACGCTGGGAGAGATGGAGCAGGAGTTCCTGCTGGCGCTGCAGGCGTACTACATCGGGCAGGACCCCATCATGACCAACGAGGAGTTCGACCTGCTCAAGGAGGAGCTGCTCTGGGAAGGCAGCCAGGTCGTCGTGCTCTGTAAGTTGAACGTAGTACTCGTTATAGGCACGTATACCCGTTATAAGCACGTAGTGTTCCTGTAGGGCAGGACCCCATCATGACCAACGAGAAGTTCGACCTGCTCAAGGAGGAGCTGCTCTGGGAAGGCAGCCAGGTCTTCGTGCTCTGTAAGTTGAACGTCGTACTAGTTATCGGCACGTATACCCGTTATAAGCACGTAGTGTTCCTGTAGGGCAGGGCCCCATCATGACCAACGAGGGGTTCGACCTGCTCAAGGAGGAGCTGCTCTGGGAAGGCAGCCAGGTCGCCGTGCTCTGTAAGTTGAACGTCGTACTCGTTATAAGAACATAATCCCACACGATGCCATCTCCTCCCCCTTAAAGGCAGCTACAGACGAGATTAGCACGAGGTTAGCCTGTCCTTGCTTAGCAGCCGGACAAAGCTGTGATGAAGCGTGTATGTCGAGTCGACTGAATACTCACGTCAGCCACAGCTGCCAATGAGACGCCATGACTCGCCATGAGATCACCTATGCGCGGACTGTATTGCACCTTTACTCTCTTCCTTCTCGGCTCTCGTCTCCGCATCCCAGCCCAGCGTTAATTCAAGAAATATGGACAGCACACCAGGCGTCGGATCATTCGATTTTAAACACCCACCTTCCTGTCCTACCGTTCTCGTTTGTCCCTCTCTTTGTGTTTTCCAGCCAAGGACGAGCAGAAGTTCATGGAAGCTTCCTTGGCGTACCAAGCGGGCAAGCCGTTCATGAACGACCGCGAGTACGACGAGCTCAAGCGAAAGCTCAAGGTGCGGTGCGGTGTGGTTTAGGGCGGTGAGTGGTTTTGTGCGGTGCCGTGTGGTTTTTGTACGGTGCTGTGCTGAGTAAGCCGAGCACGAGCGAGGAGCACAACGACCGTACGAGTTGTGGTGCTGGCGGGAGTGTCGTGCCGTGATGTGCCAGGCTGTGATGTGGTGTGCCGGGCCTGGCTGTGTTTGGGATCTTTTTTTTCTTTGTTTAATTTTAACATCTGTTTCGAAAATAGGAGAACAACGAGATACTTTTGTCAAAACGGATCATGTGTAGCCTGTTGTGTGTCTTTCGCCCCTCCATCCGTCCATCCCCGTCCATCCCCGTCCTTCTCGCCTGCTAGGCCAAGGGCAGCTAGGTGGAGCCACACTCCTCCTCGTCGCTCTCTATCTTCATTGCCTTCTCCTCTTCCCTCCCTGTTCCTCCCTCCCCGTCCCTCCTCGCCTCCCTCCCCCTCACTTACCATGCCAAGGGCAGCAAGGTGGCGATTGAGTGCCCTCACTCCATCTCCTCGCTCTTTGCCCTTCATTTCGCTCCCTTCTCATCCCACTCCTGAACCTTCGCTCCCTGACCCTCCCCTTCCCCCCCATCCCTCCCCATTCCTTCCGTTCACCTGCCCGTCCCCTCTCCCTTCCCCGGCAGGCCAAGGGCAGCAAGGTGGCGATTGAGGGCCCACGCTGCAGCCTGCGCACGCGCAAGGCTTACAGCGACAGCATGGTGGATTACCTTCGCATGACGGCGCTCAACCTGCCCGCCGCCATCCTCGCCCTCCTCGTGTAAGTGCTGCGCATACCTCCGCGTCTGTGTGGGTGGGTTGCCTTTACACCCACCGTACACTGCCTCTCCACGCGCAAGGCATACAGCGACAGCATGGTGGATTACCTTTGCATGACCGCACTCAACCTCCCTGGGCCTATACTCGCCCTGCTGGTGTAAGTGCCCTCTGCTTGTTAAAGGCATTGATACCAGTTCCATTTCGAGAATCCCTTTATATTCTTCCTTTCTTTCTTTCGTTCTTTCTTCCTGAGTGTGCACCATGTGTTGTTTTTCCTAGTTTCATGTTGTTTTTCCTAGTTTCATGTGTCGTCCCAATTGCAGCATATTCTGTCCATTCTCATCTCATGTGCGCCTCCTACTGTTCCTTCCTTCCATCCCATGTTCTGCCTCACTAATCTTTCTTTCTAGCCTAATCGTCGTCCCCCTGCAAAATTTCCCCTTTCTCCCTTCCCTTTCCCCACCCCTCCCTCCCCATCCTTTCCCCTCTTCCTCCCTTCCCCCCCCCATTTTGATCTCCAATTCTCCTCTTCCCTGCGTTTTCTTACTGTCTGTGTCCCCCACCCCTTTCTCGCTTCTCTTCAGTGTCTTCTTCTTTGACGATATCAGCGGATTCGAAATCACCTACCTGCTCGAGGTAATTGTCCACAGACATATGTCTGTTTGATGAACGTTTTCCAGTCACCTCCCTGCTCATCGCCACTCTTGCTACCCTGCTCTGTCTCACACCGCAATGGCCTTCGAATTCTTATTACTCATTCCCCTTAATGCATGCATTTCCTTCGTTATATGTCCACTCCGAAAATTCATTGTCTTCAATTCAAAACTCGCCATTCATCCCGAAATTGCTCCCTGCCACTTCCTCTCTCCTCCCTGCCACTTCCTCTCTCCTCCCTGCCACTTCCTCTCTCCTCCCTGCCACTTCCTCTCTCCTCCCTGCCACTTCCTCTCTCCTCCCTGCCACTTCCTATCTCCTCCCTGCCACTTCCTATCTCCTCCCTGCCACTTCCTCTCTCATCCCTGCCACTTCCTCTCTCCTCCCTGCCACTTCCTCTCTCCTCCCTGCCACTTCCTCTCTCCTCCCTGCCACTTCCTCTCTCCTCCCTGCCACTTCCTCTCTCCTCCCTGCCACTTCCTATCTCCTCCCTGCCACTTCCTCTCTCCTCCCTGCCACTTCCTATCTCCTCCCTGCCACTTCCTATCTCCTCCCTGCCACTTCCTCTCTCCTCCCTGCCACTTCCTCTCTCCTCCCTGCCACTTCCTCTCTCCTCCCTGCCACTTCCTCTCTCCTCCCTGCCACTTCCTCTCTCCTCCCTGCCACTTCCTCTCCGTATCTTCACGCCTTCTGCCAACCTCCCCCCCCCTTCTGCCAACCTCCCCCCCCCTTCTGCCAACCTCCCCCCCCCTTCTGCCAACCTCCCCCCACCTTCTGCCAACCTCCCCCCACCTTCTGCCAACCCCCCCCCCACCTTCTGCCAACCTCCCGCACTCTCACACACCCCTGCTCCTCGCTCTTTCAGCTGCCGGAGCCCTGGAGCTTCATCTTCACGTGGTTTGTGGTGCTGCCCGTCGTGTACCTGCTGAGCCAAGCCATCACCAACGGCATTTTCAAGGATTTCCTCATCCTGCAGGTGAGCATGGGGTATGGGCACATGGGGTACGGGCACATGGGGGTATGGGCACATGGGGGTATGGGCACATGGGGGTATGGGCACATGGGGGTATGGGCACATGGGATGGGGGTATGGACACATGGGGGTATGGGCACATGGGGGTATGGGC